TCGAATAGGACGAAGCGCGCGTCTTGGATTCCAATGCCAGCCACCACCTATCTTTACTTAAAAATTGTTTCTTTTTTTGTCTGGTAAAGTAAAATAGTTTAAGAACATTTTGCAAAATGTCAGTCATTTTGAACTAGATCGTGTAAGCAAATGATGTCAATTGAAGAGGAAAATACCATTCTCATAAAACGTATTAGTTTGGAAAAATTAATTATTTTAAAACTCAGCGTTTTTCATCATTTACGTTGTATCAATTAAGTTGGTAAGCATCGATTTTCAGTCATTTCTACATATTTACTACTCCTTTGTATAGTACCCTAAGTAAAACTTTCAGTAGACATTAGTTATTCAGTTCGTTATCATTGATTTTGAAATCCTAAAAATTAATTCGTAAACATTTACACTTAAATACTCAATTGCTACTAGTAGATTTTACTTCGAAATATTTACATATCTTTTGTAATAATTACCCTTAGCTATATGAATAAATAATTATTGCACAAATTTACTTACTATAAGAAAATAACAAGTTAAGAAAGAAAGTTGACCATCAATTTATTTTGTGATACTTTTCGATTCATTTTGATAGCAACCAATATATATATACCGATAAATTTTGATCCATGATAAAGTTACGTGAAAAGTTAAATTTATTTATTATTAAATTATGTAACGTAGTATTTTAATACAAAAGTAGGGTAATTTTTCACTATTTTCAGGGATAGGCTATTTTGAAAAGGTATAGTATTACACTATAATGACATAAATAATATATGAATAGAGATGAAATGTTAGTAGAGTTTAGATACCTGAACTGATTCGTTTTGTTAACGTCAGGATCTACAGCAGTTGTTTGAAATTTACTAAGATCGACTTTTCTTATCAGATTTTACGATTCCTTTTAAATTACCATCAAGATCTTTAAATCAGCCTAATTAAAGAAACTAATAGGGTAATACTAAAGTTAGTTTATCCGACATTGCTAAATGTCTAAGATATTATTGCATAAAACTTCAATTTATCTTTCTGTAAAATGATCTATGTTAGGTTTGGCATTATGAACAGTACATTATCTAATGCAAACGATAAAATGCATTAGTCCCTCTCAAAGACTTTCTAAAGTTAGAATTCACTACAACATAAATCAGTTTGAACAATGTTCTTTTTTCAGTAGAAGAAAAGCCTATAAACACGCAACACTTCCATTAAATCTGATTATTTTAGATCAAAATCATGAGTCAATTGAAGCTAGATCACCATGGAAAACCTGGAAGCACTGGACGGCTGTTTCGTCCTAATTTAACAACCTCCACAACACCTAAACTGATAATTACCATGTGCTCACTAGTGACTAGCTTCGTGATAAAATTCTCGGAGTTCTGGTGAGAAGCCATGATTAGTGGAGCTAATCCGTTTCGGGTAGAAACAGGTGTCTACCGTAGTACAATGGAAGATAGTCGCGCAATTTCGTGGATTGATTGAGATTAGACATTGACACCATTGGATGTTGGCTCAGTGGTCTACTTGGTTAAGCGCCTGGCGCGAGACTGATAAGTCCTGGGCCCGAGTCTCGCGGAATGCGGTATCGTGGATGCGCACTGCTGAGGAGTTCCATACTAGGACGAAACGACCGTCCAGGGATTCCAGGTTTTCCATGGTGGTCTAGCTTCAATTGACTCATGATTTCAATCAAGAACTTAACAATCTCCACAGCACCCAAACTGATAAATCTGATGATATTTAATTGCATCGTAAGTTAATAAATAAACTATAAAAGAACATAATAAGATGATTAAAGTGTTTTTGATATAATAATTAAAGGTCATAGAGGTGTACAAAAATAAACTGATATGATGAGCGTTCATGCATAAAACAATGAGAATATAAGACATAAGTAAAGGGGAATGCAGTAATAATAATAATAATAATAATAACATTAATGGTAGGATAATCAAACTAATTAAGGCCAAGGTAACGATAACGATAAGACGTACTTCTTTTGTACGCATAGTTCTGGTTTAAGCTCCTGGATGGCAAGAGCTTCGGCTATTTTTAAAAGTTGTATACGAAGAAATCTGGGTAGATTTGAACGAATCATATAAACAACCTTAAAATCAATTTGTGGATCTGTTGAATGGTTATAGTCAATTAGGTGTTCAAGAATAGAACTCCTAACTGCTTTCCTTTCACCCTTATAGAACCAGGCTGGAATATGTTCTCGTATCCGAGTTGAAAGCGAGCGCTGGCTACGGCCAATGTACCTTGCTCCACAAGAGCAGGTGAACTGGTAGATGCACATGGAGGCGACCAGACGCGGAAGCTTATCTTTTATGGATACAGAAAATAAGTTTCTACTAGTGAAGGATATTCGCAGTTTTGCCGCGTTAAATGTTCTCCTAATAGTTGTTGTTAGACGGTTTTTGATTACGTCCGATGTTCGGTCACCTTTAAATTCCAGACTTATATAAAGGTTTTTCTTTGGAACGGAACAACTAGAATTCTTCTCGCGACTACTTTTATTCATATTCTTTTCTATGAACCGTTCTGGGTAACCATTTTCCGTCAAAGTCTTCTTCAGGAATGCGAGTTCTTCGTTAATGCATTCCGTACTGCATATGTGATGTATGCGATGGCATAAAGAATGGATAAGGTTTCTCTTCCTACTTAACGGAACCCAGCTATAGAAGTTGGTTAGCTGGCCATTCCATGTTTGCTTTCTAAAGATGGATCTTTTTAAAGAACCATTACTCGTTCTCATCAGACGTACATCGAGAAAAGGAATTGATTGGTCTTGTTCCCTTTCTAACGTGAAGTTTATGGAAGGGTGGCACGAGTTAAAGGTATGTAGAATATCATCTAAATCAATATTATTGTCACAAACAACAAACGTGTCGCCTTAATTAGTTTGATTATCCTACCATTAATGTTATTATTATTATTATTATTATTACTGCATTCCCCTTTACTTATGTCTTATATTCTCATTATAAAAGAACATGTTTGTGAAGTTTCAATTAATTACTATTTTGCGTTTAGCTAAAAATTACATTAACTTGTAGTGTCGGTTATTATGTTAAGCCCATATACCTTATTCTACCTTTCGGACATCCCATTCTATTCATTCTACTCGAGTTACATTCTGACCTTGTTGTTTATTCGTTTATCAGTCTTGACTGTTTTTATATGAGAGCGTAGGTGTGTGTACACTTCTTATCCCATTACTCACCTCCTGCCTGTAATTTATTTTTGTGTGCCTATAAATACTGATTAACGCTTGGTTAAATGGGAGTTGGCTTACCCGCCATCTCAACTGCGCGTCGTTTTGCTTCGTTCTATTCCATTCACTTTATATACAGAATATATATATTCACAACTCCATTCTCGTTATTCGACTTATTTAATCCCGTTATTGACTAACGTGACTTAAGTCGATGATTATATACCAGGATAGGTGACATATATATTTCAACAACAATCATCAATACAATCACCTTGGTATCAGAACCCGGGCCACTAAAGTGGAGAGCCCTTTCGACAACATCATTCGATCTAAATGATGACGAAATTACGGGCCCCACAAAAATCTAAGCTGTGAATTCAAAAACAATGGAAAAAATGGAAACCTGTGTCTATGACCATAATTATTACTAGTAGGTTTTAAATCACCATTACCCAATATATTTTAGTGCAGGGATTTGGCGAACATTCATTAACTCGTCAAATAAGAGATAACGTATTGTTAACAAGAAAATAAAAACACTTGTCTAAAATATATTTAATTACTAAGCCATGATCTCTCTGAATGCTTCAAACACAAACTGCAAAAGTGTAAGCCCTAATAAGGAATAAAATGTAACAATATTTATTTTTGTGAACTGATATAGTAATAGAATTGCTTATTTCCTGGATCATACTTATTTTTTATTGGCAGCTAGCATTAAGAAGTATTACTCGGTACACTTTTAATACCAATATACGAATAATAATAACGATAATAATAGCTTTTAGTTGGTATTAAAGTTTTATTTGTTATCTCAGAAAAAATTATGTTAAGTAGTTCCAAACTCTACATAATTTCAGACTATCATCACAAAAAGAATAAATTGTATGACTTACGCTAACTTAAAACTGAGCACATAATTAATTAGAAAAAGTGAAGATTAGCGAAACGAATTTCTTTTTAACAATATTATTTATAAAACCTGTACATTCGCACATAATTATTCAAAAGATTAATTGAATTAAAGGTGTAGATGTTTGTTCTTCTATCGTGAAGGCTATTAGCTGATAAATCTTGATAATTTAAAAGCTTATTCGTACATGAAATCAAGCACTGATCGTCCGTAAAATAGGGGTTATGAATATCTACAATTTTATATTGGTAAGCCTTGTAAACTGATTGAATAATTTAATATCCTATGAGGGAAATTTATTTGTTCGCCTATTTGAAGATAGAATGCTGGGTCTAGTGAGAATCTATAACTATGACATAGAATTTCGTAATATGGTTTTTTTGAATCCTGATACTTAAAAAAACTATAAAATGAAGACATTTTTACGGACTTATAAATTGTAAACTGTTAGACGATTCAGTAACCAAAGTTAATTTTAATAAAAAGCTCGAAACAAATATTATTACTATTAGGTTATTATTAAAAGTACAGTCAAAATAATTCCAATATATTGTAAAACTGCTACTAAGACCACAAATATCTCAAAGAAAAAGATACCGTAAATAAAGATGATCACTTCTAATTACGAGGAACAACTGGTGATAGCATTATATCCATCTGATTAACCAGGGCATCTGTCGAAGTCAAGCAGCTTCACTAACATCATTACTATAACACAATATTTTTCAGATACCTTTCTACTGAACTCGAGTAAAAATTATCGTCATTTTGATGACATAAAGTTTCATTAACATTGGTTTTTTGAGGTTTTCAGACACTATTTAGTAATTAATATAATAAAATTTGAAAAATTTTGTAAAAACTTACTAGAAGTAACATTGCATAGCTTCGTTGACTCTGTTTGTGGAGATAAGGAACTATCAAATTCGTTACACAGTTTGGGTCCTGAATCAAACTGGTGATTACTAGATATGTTTGGCGCTCCTTTATGTGGATGGTCAACCGATTCACTATTCTTTGTAACTAGACAGTCTTTTTTACAATTCGAACTTCTAGCATCGAAATAAGAAGTGGTGCCTTTGAAAAAAATTAAAAATATGCCATAGCTTTTAGCTTGTGTAATGCAGTAGAAACAAAAAGCTATACATGAACGTTTAACTGTTTTATTTGAAATGAGACACTCAACATGTAACCATTTAACACAAAACAACAGCCATTACCATTAAATATTTACCAACGATAATGTCAGTAAACATTAAATTAAAATTCATTAGTGATACATATAAACAATAAACTGTTAAACAACTGACAATATCCATATTCAACTACTGTGACAATTCTAAAGATCAAAATAATTACGCTTTCTCCATATAGGTGTAACTGCTATACAATCAACAAACTATGTTTGGATAAATAAAAGTAATGAATTATATGTCCTCGTTCGCCTATTAGAGTGTAAACGACTTACACATTTTAGAAGTTCATGATCATAATACAGTTAGAAAAATATTTTTTTCTTAAACTTTTTTTCATTAAATATAACTAATTACTATTCAGTTGATAGAAGACTTAAGTGGACCGAACTTTCACCTGAATTCGCATTTTGTGGTAACCCTAAATTTGATAATAAATGTATATTTTTTCTACCTGATTCAATTTTTGAGTGAATTTTCGTTCTCTAATTGCAAGTTTTTAAAACCAGACTTAGAGATTTTAGTTTAGGTGTCACACTCAAAAGAGCTTCATGTAAAACGAAAGCATAGAAAATGCTTGAAACCCGATTCCATAGCAGTAACCAACAGACATAATCCCAGAAGGAAACAAAAATAACTTCTCAACAGAATACCAGACTTTTTAAAACACAAGATTGAGTTAACATTTTGATCAGTAATCCCATACACATATGATACAAACACAAATTAAATCTTATTTACTAGAGAGAAGTCAGAAGGTCAATCCATTTTGAAAGTTGGACTGAGAACTGGAAAAGGACCTTTAAAATATTTGGTTGAAAGAAGAACAAATCAAACCTTAATCGAAGGAGATCATGGTTCATTTGTCAGCTCCATCTCTAATACACAAAGCAAGCATACATATTTTGATATTTTAGGACGAAAGTAAATGTATGAAATCATTAATCAAAAAGGGAATGAATGAATGATATTGATTATGTAACAGAATAAAACTCGTGCGAAATTGGTTAACCCAAAATGTTTACAATACTAAAAATAACTCAAAATGGTATCAATTCCTTTAGACACCTAAAACGTCAAGCAATTGAAAGATTTAAATAACTAAAGCATCAAAAAATAAAGAGTAAAATAGCTATCATTACTCTGTAAAGACGTGTCCTATGTTTTCTTCATATACTGCATTGTAGCTTTTATAGAAAAGAGATTTATTATCTTAGCAACACGAGAATTGGATAATAGACAACAGCTCTGTTTATGTAAATCGTTTATTGATGCCCTACTGCGCAAGCTTTTTGTATTATAAATAAAATAAATAACTTATGTTTGAAAAATATTTATGGAACGATTTTGGTGAACATTGTCTAAGATCTTTGATTTCACAAATGTCATGTTAGAGGAAGGACTGTACTATCCGATTTTACGAGCTAGAAAACATGCTTCAATGATTGAAAGTGATCACTTTATCATATAAACGGGTGTGCTATTTTAGTAATTATCCACGGAAAAACAGTGAAACGTTCGTTTTAACTTCTATAGTCACCTAAAGAATAAAATGATCATTGTCAGTGGAAGTTACTTTGATGAAGATGTTCCCATAACGTTAAATTAGTGTTTTATTAAAGATATTCCATTCAAAAAGTTCATTTGAATCAGTTTTACTATTCATTAACCAGGGATTTACATGTTTACTTACAAATCGTTATGGTAATCAGATTCGCAAACGCATGAAAAGACAAAATATTATTGGCATATATCACCGTTAATAGTCATGCAGTCTTAAGCAGCGAGCATACATATGGAAATTATTAATTAATCTAACCTACATATCAGACTTAAATCTCAAAAATTGACATCGTTTTATCACTTCTCCATTTTGCATTACAGAAAAGGTTTACAAGTACCACAACATGCAAAGCATATGTAGTATTCTTGATCTTTTACTGTAGATTTTGCTACTACAATTTGCCAAGATAAATATCTTAAGACTTTACGGGCACTGTAACTGTTACAAAACGTTTTTAACTACTGTAACGCGTTTACTTGTATGAGCATACTCCAACCCTTAAAACTCAGATCGCTCATTACAATATGCCTTTTTTGATACATTCGGAATACCTACACCAGCAGCATTATAAACAAGGATGGATAGTGGCTAGCAGTGGAATCCAGGACACGCGTTTCGTCCTATTTGAGACTCGTGATATGGATGTGCCTGCGTCCTGGAGTTGGTGTTGATTCCGGAACCCAAACCCACTACCATTCTCTTCAAACGCCATCTCTTTATCCACTTAGCTACTACGTCCAGAGGGTCACTAGCTTATGCAAGGGGGTCGAATTTTAATGCATTTTTGGATCGGTTGTTTGAATCGTTTCATTGATGGTTAGGACTGCAATGGAAAGATTCATAAAAGCAATACAAAAATGAATTATCTATACCACAGTTTGAGACTAAATTTAAAACTTAATTTCACTGGGACATTAGCGACTTTGGAAAATGCGCTTTCTTTATTGTGGTGACTAATCATCATTGGATGTAGATAAACAAACACAGGGAAGAGATATACTCAAATTATAGGTGCTGTTTTTTTCATTAAATATGATCTATATTACATATGAAGGTCCGTTTGTAAAACTAATACTAATAAGATGTTTTCATTAGAAAGCTAATTTATAATCAAATAAAATATAGCAGATTTATAATCTTCTATTCCAGTAGTTTCTCTAGATTTTTTCATGGTAATACCAGGAACTGTATGCATGAAATACTTTTATTGGCATACATAGTACTTAATAATATATTTAGAAGGCATTTTAGACAACTCGTAAAGTAACCCTAATTTTCACCTAGCAGACACTTTTTCAACCACTAAATTCTTCATCATCGTCTTTGTATTACAATAATGACATAGCAGTGATAGTTATCTGCAACTCACTATTAATAACTATAGTAATTGAATTAAAGTTACCTTGAACGTGAAATACGAAAATTCATTTCGAGTTTAAAAGCAAGTATGATTACTTTTACTTACCTAGACATCGGAAACTGTCAAAGTTTATAGGAATATGCTTTGAATTACATGAGTGATAGTTTGGTCGACTATTTGACTCAGTATTATTTGTCCAATCAACTGACCAGTTAGCACAATAATGTGTTCTGTTTTGACCATCAAGCCATCCATTCTCAAAGGAATCTTCCTGGCTTAAAGGATTACATGACTTTAAATTTTCTATGGTTGGTGCTTGTGGTGCATATAAGTGATCATTTAAAAACATGAATGATGACTTTGCTTTTGATTCGCTTTGGTTCTGATAATCTGGATCACTAGCAATACTAGTATCGGTAAAATCAGAGACATTTGATCTTAAATCCATATGAAGATTATTATGATAATTTGAATACTCTGTGTCACTCGATTGAATGTACTCACTAAGATAATGTTGATGTTCGTTATTAATAATATAAGGATAATTCACAGTTCTCATTACAGAATAATCAGTTTGTGAACATAATTGTACAGGTGTTGAATTAAAATGTTGATCATAGAGATATTTAGATTGTTGATATTCTTCACCAGAAATAAATTCATTACTGACTGGATGATTATTTTGTATTTTTGTGTCATTGATAAATCCACTTGTCAAAGCAAGAGAGCTAGTGGTATAATGCTTTGAACTGAAAACATCCTTTGTCCATGATAGATCATTATCTGAGCAATCACAATTGGGAGTAATTTCTGGATTATTGTCATTAGAACAATTTTCTCGCAATTCCTTGACGTGTCCCAAAATATTTTTATTTACACTGCCACTTTTATTATTATCATTCATTTTATATGTGATAGGAATGTTGTTATTATTAATGATATTAGAAGTAGTACTGGTATCATTTGGATTATATATAATAGATTGATCGTTAAATGAATAATTTTGCCGTGAAGTAATCCCCATAAATTTAGTAAAGTCATTTTCCAGAAATCTATTCCAATCTTCATTTTCCATTTCATTAACAGAAGAATCAATTGTGACTGTTGTCGGCTGATTCTGAGTGCAGTACCGTTTTTGTGTTGTATGCATATTTCTCGGTTAATATAAATTCATTCGGTATCTAGTGTTCTACATTAATGTATTTTTTGAGAATCACAAAGTAACATTTTTTATATATTCTAATCCTTTGATTAGTAATTTTAAACAATACAATCAGAAAAATATTTACGGAATAAAACAAATTCATTAATTTTTCATTGGTTCTAATCAACTACAGATAGTTTTAGGAAGAGAATCAGTGCATAAAGAATTAATGTAAGTTTTAATGTGCTAATTTATATGACAACTACAAAATGAAGCAGATAAAATTACCATTATTTTAATTTATCCATCAGTATAAAATCGTATATGTACTTAAAAAAGCTCAATTTCTCGCACCTTAAAGCTATGACGAAAGTGTGAATTTCTATACACTGTTTGAACTGAATAACTTCCAAATGTGAAGTTATCTTTACACTAAAATCTATTCGTCCTAAAACTCTGTTGTTGTGTATAGCGCTGAATATTCTCCTCAATCATTATTTTCAGTTAAGTTAATGTTTCGTTATAGTTTAATAACCTTCATATTTATGTCTGACATATATATATATATATATATATATATATATATATATATATATTGAGAGAGAGAAATAGGTGATTTTGAGAACACATTTTTACGCTCGAAATTTCTGAACATTCAACCAGTGGGCTGCAATATCTGCTCTATAACTCAGTAATGGTAACTACAACTGAGCATTAGATCAAAAGACATTTTCTTAGAAACAGATACTTATAATGAAGATCTCTACATGTCCTTTAGTCAAATTATAGTTATGAGTGAATACAAAAAGTAACTATTTATTTGAAATGTCTTTTACTACAAGTCATCTTATGAGGAAGCTTTAAAATATACTTCATGTGAACGGAATTTTTACTGTTTATTCACCCCAATTAAAACTTAACTATTTCAACTATGTCAAACTAGGGAACAATGTCCTTTCAATGAAAATTGAGTATAAAAAACTAAAAACACTGAACAAACCTTCCAGCAACTATGATAAATTTTTTCTTGGTTTTGTAAACTGTGATACATTGAGGTGTTTTTTAGGCATTCACTAAGTGCCATAACAAAATAAAAGTACCACAAGTCCTTATAACCATTATTTAAAATGCCTCATACTATATTTGTTTGATATGCTTTATGAAGTTTACTATTTTTCAGCAGAAACAAACAGTAAATAGAAAGCATAGAAAATATTAATACATTCATTTGATGATTACTAAGGTTAATCACTTGGGAGTAATAGATTATGACTACAAACGCTTTTTAGACATGCTGGGTACTAATAAGCTAGTTTGTAAGGAAACAACAGTGCAATTAGTTTCGCCAAAACGTTTAAAAAAAGATATAATAAAAATATCGATAGGATGCTATGAGTTTATTATATTTTGTGCTTTCTCCTTAACAGCATATAAGATAATAAATCTATTTGTTTAGACTATTAACATAGAAGTCTTAGGAAAGAGTTGTTTTCACAGATCTGTAAAATTGCTCAAAATGTAAACTTGTAGTGAATGATCCAAATTCATGTATTCAAATCATTTTGATGGATAAGTATAGTGAATATTCTAGAATATTATTAATTAATGTAACAAACGATTTGCGAAGAATATAGAAAACCAAGAAAGAAAATTAGATCTAAATGAATGAACAATAATCACGTCTTGCTAAAAGATGAAAATAAAGTTCTTAACAGTTTTCTATATATTACCAAAACAGTTAGAGACTAATCATAGACTTTTTTGAATATAAACGTCAGGTATTGACCCATCACCATACTTATTCATATAAACTCTCCAAACACCTCAATTTTCAGCCTTCGTTACAAGTTTACATTCTGAAAAATTTGATTGATCTACGAAAACAACTCTTCGAAAATGTTTTGTGTTAATAATTTCAACCAACTATAATCACTATTATATCCAGTTTTATCAAAAGAAGAAAATGCAATGACTTCATCATATTCTGTAATTATTTTAATTTTTTTGTTAAAATAAATATTTGCAACTAAACAAACTCTTTTAAGAGCCTGAATAAAGTCAAAGAAATATTGTTATAAAAATCTTACCGTATCATGATCTCAGGTATTCAAATGAACATATTTTACCACTGAAATTTCACTTTTATCCCAAAAACTCATTTGCGTAACAATTTTTTACTGTATTTTGAAGAGTAATTAACTCGCCACATCAATGTTCAGTTTACTTTGTAGTTAGACAGTGAATGCCTACAAATATATTCTTATTTTATAATTATCCAATCGGTATATTTTAAAAATTAATAATTGACAATTAACATATGTTTAAAGTAAATCAGAAGACCTCGAATACCATGGGATATAGTGCACTTAAACTGTTGCATGTAAATGTTATGTCATCAAATCAAGTGAATTATGCAAGTACATAAATTAATGGATATAGATTTATTGTAAAAATCATTTGAAGTCAGTACATAAATCGAGGTCAAGAAGATAACTGTTTTTCTGCACTCTGATTATAAAATCAATAACAACTAGTATTAGTTGCGAATCTTCATGAAATAAAAGAACTTTCGAAACTGTTTAGTGAGTAAATTTAACTATAACATCTAAAGCCTTTTTTTCATTTTAATGTAAAATCATAAAATTAAGTTAGAAATATAAGTACTGTGATTACTGCTCACCCATCCAGCTCACCAGATCTAATCTCCTTTCATTATAACTCTGCTGATCCTCCAACTCAGGTGTATTTGCACCCTTAGTCGTTGTTTAACACAGTTCAAGGTGCGATTCACCTGCATTCCCCAGATTCATAGACTCAAGCACAATTGGATATTGGTTGTTTTCCAAACGTGATAGTGATACTTAATAAGAGGTGATAAAATATGAGCGTTTTTTTTCCCGATATATAAAAGCAACCTAAAAAGCATTAATAGTGACTTCCACTAGTGATACCAATCCACAAATTGGATTCACTCATGAATTTTACTTAGCTCTTACTCTACTCTCCCTCATCAAGATTTACTTCTAGGCAATAATTAACGTATCCGGATTGTTGAAGTTCCATGAATTTGTGATGTAAAGAAGGATTTTTGAACTACAAAAATGAAATGTCTGCAAACAATGTAGTTATACATTTACAAATAAGTAGTTACAAGTCTATATTTCGATTAGTTGGCCAATTGAGTACTACAAGTCATCGATGAACTGGTATCTTCGTCGTTGAAAAGCATCGTCGCTTTCTTGCATATATTTTATCAATAAATTAAGATGTTCAGAACGATAACGTCATATCATATAATACAGTTTCCTATGTAGCCCACACTCAGTAAGCTCCATATACTTTGAGTGAAAATTTACAATGTTCTCCGTTTAGTGGAATGGTTATCAAGTCTCGGTGGTAATTAATGGAGTTCAACTAAAATGATTAAAAGAGTATCCTTTTACAAATCCGAAAAGTAAAGCAAGACTAATTCGGTACTCAAAATGAAGTACTCTGTCGAGCATGCTTTCAAAATGAATTATTTTCTGAATTGCGAAAACAGTTTTTCAGTTTTTGTTATACGGGACTTTACCACCCAATAACAGTCCTTTGAAAATTAAACAACTCCAGTCAGGAGTATTTATACATATATGATCCATTTCAAAAGTCTCAGCAACTTTTAATTTAGGGTTAAGATTTAAACTCATGGCACATACCAAGACATAAAGCTTGTGATACTGCAACGACAGCTTATACAACTTGGAACACCTGGAACCAAATAAAAATTAGCTTTTTCATCGAACTAACAACGCTTAACACTAAGCTAAACTTCTCAATAACAGTCATACGCATATAATTAAGGTGAACAATTTACTTTCTAAAGAATTCCTATGATACATTTTTATCACCCATTTGACAAAGAAAGTGTCTCGCCTTTTCTTTGCTAACCTATAACTTTAATCCCCCGGTTTTTTACTAAGTTTATCGTTTTCGAAATCGTGCCACAAATTTTTTTACTGAGTACAAATAGTGTCTAGATAAAACATAATTCTGAAAATATTACACTTCACACGTTGATTACACTCCAAGCGAGCTTTTATGGCAATAATGCTATTTTACTGCCAACATCCTTACTGTTTTCTTAACAAACTAGGAGCTAAAAAACTTTTTCACGCGTTATCGACTCATAATTTACCGCTAATTGACGGCGACAACCAGTAATTTTAAAAAGTGTCAGTATTTTAGTCATCTAAAATATCAGTATTGTTCTCAGTCAGTCATCAGCAACGTAGAAATTCGTACGTACATGTGTACTTCAGTTCCAGTTGCCACACCACATTACAACACAAATACAACTGTCGATTCAAATCCAATACTGGTAGACGTAGTAAAAGTATAAGCAGTAATCGGAAAGATTAGGGTCTCAAGATGTTATGCAAGGAGTATAATCTAGTGAAGTGAATTCGGGAAGCGAAAAACGGGAAATGAAGGATTCAGAAGATTAGAATTAGAAAGAAAACAAAGAGTGGATGCGCCTGTGCCATTGCAAACGGTTTTGAGCCATGTTATTCAAGGTCTATAACCATCGGTTGCTATCGTCTCGCGGATCCCAACCAGGTAGTCTACAACTATCAACATGGGTCAGCCCACTTGTCAGTGACTTCATGGATTTGTGCCATGTTTTGATCTGACCGCCTCTAGCCTTTTTCCAACCTACTTCTACACCATAAACATCGCACATCGGGGCAGTCGGTGGTTGGGCATACGTAACACTTGTCTCAGCCATCTCAACTGATGAAGTTTCACTACTTCATCAATTGATATGCCATCCTTACCTAGTACCCGTTTCCTAACAACTGCATTACTTACTCGATGGTCTCACGATATACGAGCAATATTTCGAAGACACCTACGATCAAATACTAGTAACCTACGAATATCCTCTACTCTTACCGGTCACGTTTCACAGCCATAAAGTAGGACGGAACACACTGATGAGCGGTAAACCCGTCCTTTGGTTGGTAGACGGATATACCGCCTACGCCATAAATGGTGCAAGTTGGCGAAAGCTAGTCGATTCTTCTGTATCTGTGCTGAGATTTCGTCACTCACTAAACCACAAAGGCTGATGTGACTCCCAAGACAAGTGGAGTGGTCGACACGCTCAACTACTTCACTCCCTATCATTAGTTCAGGTGCCGATGCAACCCAATTCTGAAGCAACATTTTGCATTTCGAAGGAGAGAACCGCATCCCGAACATGTTTGCATTGTTGCTTACGGTGGTCAGAAGACTGCATTTTGTCAGCGTCTTCATCAAATAGAACTATGTCAACGGCATATTTTAAGTCAACAAGTGAATCTCCCGGCAAAAGTTCAACCCCTGGAAATTTAGATGAGAAACGTGTTATCTCTGGAAGCACGTCAACGACAAAGTTAAACAAGAATGGAGAGAGTGGGCAGTCCTAACGAACGCCACTTGAGGTAATCAATTCTGGTAACAGTTCGCCATAAGCTCTCACTCGGCCAGTTGTGTTCAGGTAGAGAGCCTGTATAAGGTTAATGTACTTCTTTGACACTCCTTTCAGTGACAAACACTGCCATAGAACCTCACAATCGACAGAGTCAAATGCCGCCTTAAGGTCGAGAAATACTACTATTGTGGGACGTCTGAATGTGTGTCTATTAGTCAAATTGATTCCTCTGTGATTGCCACAAGAGGACTTTTGTCCTTTCTTATAGACTGGCACAATCAGTGATTGAAACCAGTCAGATGGGATTATGTCCAGTTCCCAGATTCTACCTAAGAACTCAGAGCTAGTTCTGCTCTAGTGCTCAATGCTATACCTCCACCAGCGAGGCCACGGGAAGCAGCATCAGGGCTTCCAAACACATGGAGCGCGAATCGAGATGGTTCTTTATTTTGATCTGATGATATCAAATGAATGACGCTACTCGGATCCTGTATGCGCGTTTCGGAGACCCAGCACACATCGATGGCGCGAGATTCTAAAGTCCTAGCTAAGGAAGCCTGTTATCCTATTTGGCACAGTGTTCGGACGTTAAAAGCTCCTACATGTAGTTAACAGCGTGGTTTCAGGAGACTAAAATTAACGTTCCCCTGGAAATTTAGATGAGGAGAGTGTTATCTCTGAAAGCACGTCAACGACAAAGTTAAACAAGAATGGAGAGAGTGGGCAGTCCTGACGAACGCCACTTGAAGTAATCAATTCTGGTGACAGTTCGCCATAAGCTCTCAATCGACCAGTTGTGTTCGAGTGGAGATCCTTTACGGGATTAATGTACTTCCTTGTACTCTCTTCAATGACAAACATTGCCGTAGAACTTTACGATTGACAGAGTCAAATTCCGCATTAATGTCGAGAAATACTATTATTGGGGGCGTCTGAATGTGTTTCTTTGTTCTAAGACGTGGCGTATTGTGAATATCTGGTCTATACAACCACGTCCAGGTCGGAAAAAGGCCTGATTTTCTCTAGTCTGCTCTTCACGAGCTTTATTTAGGCGTCGAAGTACCGGTCTAGGAAGCTCGTTATAACATCTTTGACCACAATAACTGTAAACATGGATTTAAAAACCCTATGTAAAACTCAGTTTCCTTAAGATACGTATGGCCACAAATGTAAGTCCAGCACTTATTGTTCCAGCTGCCAAAGATTTAAACAAATTGCACGAGATGATAGAACATAAAAACTTGCTCTCATTGTAATTCGATCAGTAAAACTCAATCACTAGTAACTAGAGGACACACACGATAGTGATTACTGCTAGGCTATAAATGAATTTAAAGGTTATATATCAGTACGGAATTCGGGAATACAGTCTTTATAGTGAATACCGTCACGTACAGAAAACGCTTTCAGTCATCAAGTGCCGCGAAATCATCCATTTTTATTAACTGTCGACTAGTCTCTAAGACTGAATGGCATTATTTAATGGTAAACTAAACGCTTACTTTAAAATATTGTTGCTAAGCAAGTGGTTTGTGTTTGTGTTTAAAGGTCGTCCTAGATTACTTGCTTCAAGTATATTGGCAGCAACTTACAAAGGAAACGTTATATTACATTTTTCTACAGTAAAATGCTTTGCATGAACTAACTACAGTTCTCTTCAAAAGTCTAATGAATATTGACAAATATCATTTTGAAATCGTTAAATGTGATCTTAGAAACTGAATATATTAATTACTTTTGTGTATACTAAGTAATAATTTTAAATTGATTCAGTTATTATTTAGAGATGGACATGCAATCTAAATAGCGTATACCTTTTGAGAGATCATTAATTAATATATCACTTATCTGACTAGATAAATATCCCTACGGAATTCAAACTGTCTTAGGCCAAACATTGTTCTGAAGTTAAGCACGATAAAAATGTAATCTTTACAGATAGGATATTTTTTATTAAAAATTCAATGCGAAATGACAAGAATAACGTAATAAGATTTCTCAACCGATTTTTGACATTGAAGTATAAATTCTTGAAGAAAAACATCTCAAAGTTGTTGGTTTTCAATTCTCACTTCATTTCACAAATGTCATACATATAAGATGAATATAATGTATTCCATTACTATATATCATGTAGAAGCAAGAAAACAGATTATCACCTCAATTAAAAAGAGTAAATTTCATAATATTATACTTTTATAGATACTTTGTTATGCAAAACACCTTGTCGGAACCGGTTAAACTTGATTATTGTATAAGTCTTGCAATGTAAAGATAAGTGGCAAGAAATTAGGATCAACATGTTGGTCATTAGAATCACATGCCGTTTTACTTTTGCCAGAAACCCTAAGAACATTTTTGTCGAACTTTGTTTTTAGCTAGTTTCTTCTCCCAAAGACAAAATGCAAGTTAAGTAAATTAGAGGCTGAAATAAGACTAAGAAGACAATGTTCAAAGTTTACTACTGATTCTGGATAGTCACTTAAACGCCATGTTAAGAATGACCTATGTCTGTTTGACAATACGAAAATATCCAATGAAACGAGATGGAAAATCAACCAGTTAAACGTAAAGAAAGCTTTTTTTATAGATTTTACACACTTAGGCGTTTAAACTCCAAACAATGGACAGCTTCTTTTTTAGATTGGCATTCGCCGAATTTTTGAAATAATATATTATTCTACCAAAAAGTAATGTTTTTAACTTATGAAAGTGGTCCTGTGAACATATATTAAATTCTTTCACAAAAAGATTTGTTTTTGGACAACTAAAAAAAACACTGTACAATTCTTCTTAAATCACCGATAATTGGTTTCCTGTTGACTACTTCCAACCACCATCTAATCTCAATATAGTGCATACAGTGTCGAGCCACCTAGACTGGTGGCCACATTGGAACTTGGTCGATAGTATTCGGTCTTCACTAAGAAGGATTTGAGACGCATGACATTGTTCACCACCCAATGATAAATCAATTGTGATAATTTGTTTGTGTCAAACTTCAAAACGTTTATGTTACTAAAACATGAGTTAATTGAACCAGGTGTATCTCATCCTAAAAACATGAAATTTTTATTTGTGTTCCAAATGACCCCTAATAAAAGATAACT